ACATTTGGTAATGTTTGGAGACATTTTTATCACCATTGGTAAGAAGCGCTACTGGTGTATACTGGGTAAAGGCCAAAGATGCTGCTAAACATGCTACAATGCACAGAAACCCCCCTCCACACAAAAAATTATCAGCCCAAAACATCACTAATGTCATTTTTGAGAAACCCTGAGTTACAGTAACCTGAACCATTACTCTAAGAATGAATGCATGGTAACAGATTGTTGGCAGAGGCCCCAAATGTCAATGCCAAATGCTTTCACATCCAAATTAAGGTACCACCATGGGAGTGGGGTAATAGGTGCTTTCCCCTTACATCAAGCCAAGTCTGAGGGACTTCAAGAGGACCATTTGGAAAAGATGACATGTGTCCATTGGAATCTTAGAGAGATGAGACCTGATAATTGATTTTCACTTGAAAAGTTCTAAGTCAAGAGGCTGAGGCCACCTCTGAGCAGAAGATGCACATGGGGAAGAGCTCACACTTCTGTGCGAGATCCATTATGCTTTTTGTGGACCAAGTGAGAACCCCGTGTAAGAAAGTTAGACTGGGTCATCTTGAGAATGGCTGTCCAACGGGACTGCCAGCATGGGTGAGATGATTCCAATCTAGGGATGGATCCTTGGAAACCAGGACACTGAGGTGTATGTCATAAATGGCCCCAGAAACAGATTGCTGTGGGCTGGCCAGTTAGCTCAGTTGGTTAGAGTGCAATGCTGAAAACACCAAGGTCAAGGGTTTGGATCCCCATACTGGCCAGCCACCAAAAAAAATAAAAAATAAGCTACACTGACGAACTAAGAGTCTGTAGGTGACAGTTCTCCCGTGACGCACCTATAGAGGTACTCCATGAGAGAAAGGATCAGCTTCAGACCTCAGCTAAACCCAGAGAGCACTGACATATGGCTAAAACTGCCCCAATTCAGGAAGATCCTTCCTGTTCTTGTGTTCGCCAACCCTGAAGGGGTCCACAATGAGAAGCTAGCCAGCCAAGGGGAAGGTAGAACAAGGTGGAGGGAATGACAGAGAATTTTTGAACTGTATGAGTCTAGGATTTTTAACATTGCATTGGACAGGAATTTTTTAATACTGGGAGAAAAGATCATTTGTCTATTGGGGTACTTTTTAATTACGTGAGAGTGACTAGAAAAGCTAAAGGCTTTACTTAAGATTTTTTGTCCTAGGGCCAGCCCTTGGCTCACTCGGGAGAGTGCGGTGCTGATAGCACCAAGGCCCCGGGTTCGGATCCCATATACGGATGGCCGGTTTGCTCACTGGGTGAGCGTGGTGCTGACAACACCAAGTCAAGGGTTAAGATCCCCTTCCTGGTCATCTTTAAAAAAAAAAAAAAGGATTTTTTTGTCCTAGGTGTAGAGAGGGATTCTCAGAGATTTTCAAGGATGATAATAGGAAAGAATAAAGTTGGTTTCTGCTTGTCCCTGCCAGCTGCAGCTTGTTTATCAAAGTAAGAAAAACATGACTGGCCGGTTATTCAGTTGGTTAGAGCACAACCTTATACCATCAAAGTCACAGGTTCAGATCCCCATACCGGCCAGCTGAAAAAACAAAAAAACACAACCAAAAAAAAGAAAAACAGTTTAATTGGGTTTCTGGCGCTTATAACCAAAAACATATTATAAAGGCTCAGTTTAAGTCAGGTTTTTTCTGAAACAAACAAAAAAAAATCAGGGTTTCTCAACAGTGGCCCTAATGATGTTTCGGACTCTCCTGTTACATCAATGCAAAGATATGTGACTAATTCCTTCTTCCACCAGTCCTCCTCAGGGATGTTGCCAAACATCAACCCCGGGGGCTAAACAAACCCCAGTTGGAAACCAACAAATAACTTGAGTCCTTAATGCTAGGCTTTGGGAATATTGTAAACAAGACAAATAGTCACTGCTCTCATTGAGCCTAAGTTCAGAGGAGACAGGCAAAAAATTAAGTTTACAAAAAATCTTGAAATAATTGATAATTACAGTAAATTTTCTTAAGAAAACAAACAGAATGCTGAAATGGGAAATAATGGGGTGAAGAGTGCTACATTATTTTTTTATTTTTATTTTTTTAAAAGATGACCGGTAAGGGGATCTTAACCCTTGACTTGGTGTTGTCAGCACCACGCTCAGCCAGCGAGCCAACCGGCCCTCCCTATATGGGATCCGAACCTGTGGCCTTGGTGTTATCAGCACCGCACTCTCCCGAGTGAGCCATGGGCCGGCCCTAGAGTGCTACATTAAACCAGGAATACCTAGCTAGGAGTTAGCCAGGTGAATGAGGGATGGGGGTTGAGAGTATCTGTAAAAGTGTATCTGACTGAGAGTCACAGCATTTGCAATATACATGAGTATCAAAGTGTATGTTTTATGCACTGCTATTTTTACTTGCCATTACTCAGTTGGAAAAATAAGATGTTTGTTTTGATATGACTGTTCAATTGCCTTCCTTCCTCCCTCCTTCTAGCTCTCCTTTTCTCTTCCTTCCTTTCTTTCTTCCCTTCATTTTTTCTTTTTCAGCCCTGCATTAGAAGAGCCTTTAGTACCTGGCCTGAAGTACAATTCCAGGTCATATGATTCACATTATATTCTCTACAAATGGCATCTCTAGAATTCCACTCCAAAATCAGCATGACTCAGCTGGGTGTCTGCACTATAGAACGTATAATCTCTTCTTTCAGAGGGGGATTGATTGATTGATTTTCCAGTGTCAGTGCCCTTTCTTATGATCCATCAAGAGATATTGCTTGAAGAAAAGTAAAGAGTTAAGGATTCTGGATTGAGGAACAAAAGGATAAAAGTAAATACCCAAGGGTGTGAGAGGGGTGGGAATCTATGGAAGTTAAAAGTGGGAAAGGTGTTGCATTGTGTCAGAGTGCATTTGCTTAGTGACAACTGGTCCACTATCATCTAAGCATGAGTCACACCTGCTTTGAACAGCCATGTCATTTGCCTTCCCTGTACTGACAGTGTCCCAGAACCCCTCTAAGCCCAAAGAGGAACTTGGTTACCAAGCAGGATGGTTGAGGGGACTTTGGCGTTTAATTGAATTTGCTAGAACACTGTTTAAGGACAGAATACCTCTGATACATTTTCAATGCAGGAATTTCTAGAGTAGTGACTTTTGCTTGTTTGGTTGCCTGTCATATTGATTTGTGGAAATACACATATATATGAGCCCTTTATCAGTTACACGTATTTCATATATCTTCTATTTGCTGGCTTGACTTTTCATCTCTTAATGATGTCTTGATGCAGAAATCAGTTTTTATAGGTAACAAATAATTTTTGGCAGCTAAATTACTCAGCGATGGCACCATTTCTAAACCCCATCTTTCAATATGATCTCAACATTGCACAGGCCTCTTAAATGCAATTACTTTCTTACTCATTTTAAAAATGTCACTTTTAGGGCTGGCCTGTGGCTCACTCGGGAGACTGTGATGCTGATAACACCAAGTCCATGGGTTCAGATCCCTATATAGGGATGGGTGGTTAGCTCACTTGGGAGAGCGTGGTGCTGACAACACCAAGTCAAGGGTTAAGATCCCCTTACTGGTCATCTTTAAAAAAAAAAAAAAAAAAAGTCACTTTTACTTTAAAGCCATAGGTTAAATGTATACATTAAAAAATTTTCTGTTAGGTAGCATGCTGCTGACAGTCGCTTGTCATCAAAGAAAAGGTCAGAAAATTTAGAACACTGGTCTTTTTTCTTTCTCTTTTTGTCTTTTTTCAAGTAAACCTATACAACTCTATCTATCTATCTATTTATCTATTTATTTATTTATATATTTTTTAAAAGATGACCGGTAGGGGATCTTAACCCTTGACTTGGTGTTGTCAGCACCACGCTCACCCAGTGAGCAAACCAGCCATCCCGATATGGGATCCAAACCCGTGGCCTTGGTGTTATCAGCACCGCACTCTCCCGAGTGAGCCAGGGGCCGGCCCCTACAACTCTCATTTAAGCCAGAGAGTTCTTCAGTACTTTGCCACAAGACATCAGGGAACGAATGATTTTTATAATCATTCCCTTATCTTTTTGCAGAGGAGTATAAATATTTGAAACATTTATATGGTTGATTTTTAAAAAATAAAAATTAACCACATTGCTGACATCCTGTAGCATGTAAACTGCAATATTTTGAAATAGGCTGAAAATAAAAGGAGGAATGGCAGGACCATCGGTACTATCCACATTGTGAAACTTCTATTGTGAAACCCAGGAGAGGTGATCATTTGTGGTATAAACTGAGGCCTCAGTGTCAATCTCTACATAGAATGTCGTATCATGATTAATTTCTTCCATTTTTACCTTAAAAATAAATATAAGTAGAAGCTCCTATAATTTGTATTTTCTACTTGTTCGTGATGGAGATTGAGCATTTTGCACAACATTGGGGTACGTGCTCCTATTTTGGAGACCAGTGCTCTAGGCAGTAACGTTTCAATAAATATTTGATGTGATCTTTTTGATTTTGTCCTAGAGGAAAATGCTAGAGATAAATTTCTTCTTTACATATGTGGAAAAGAGAAACACAATTGCTTCCAGAAAATCTAGGTCCTAAGAAGTTGGGAGAACAAAGAGAAGAGGGAATACAGTGCTTAATTAAGATAAGTCTGATATTTCTTTACACAGGGTCGGAAACCTGAAGCCCTTCAGTGGCCAGCCTTAATGCAGATTCTGTAATGCATCGAGACAAAACCTTACAATGGTGGTAGTGCGACTGTAGAAAAGGGGAAGAATAAATGTAAAAATGAAAAAAGACCGAAGCCTTAAACTGCTGCACGGACGTGGTCTCTGTACAGGCAACTGCATTTGGGGTCCGAGTCGCGACGCCAGACCTAGGTCCCCGCGGCCCCGCCCCGGGGAGGACTCTCCTCGCGGCCCCGCCTCTGCCCCCTCCCCGCCCGCCCACGACGCCCGAGACGCCTGCGGCCGCCGCGAAGACACCGGAAGGAGCCGCGGCTGCTGCGGGAAGTGGCCAGTTCGGTAGGCGGGAACCCTGCGGGCAACGCTGTGGAGCCGTTTCCCGGCCTCTGGACGCGACGCCGCGCCTCTCCGAGGCCAGGGGAGGAAAAGAGTTTGCAGAGGTGCGGCCGCAGGCCACCGTTGTCCGCGCTGGCGGGGCCCGCGGAGAAGGCCGTGGAGGTGAGCGCGGCGGCGCTGGGAGGGGCACGGGGACGGAGGGCGCCTCGCCCGCCGCCGGGGCCGGTCTAGGTTCTGGCTCCCGCGCGCCGGGGGCCTTTTCTTGGTCTGGGGTGGTGGTGGGCGCGCTGTCGGGAATAAGGCCTCGGCCCTTCAGTGCTCTGCGTTGCAGAGGTAACCTGGTGGTCGCCCCGCCAGGGGTCGGTGGAAGATGCGAACCGGTCGATGATTTGAGAAAGGGTCCCCAGGGGGCGCTCCCCTAGGAAACGGGGGGCGGGAGGGGCGAGGTGATACCGGGAGAGGGGCTCAGCTCCCTGCCTTGGTTTCCCCACTCCGGCTTGCCAGCTGCTTTCGGTGGGCGCAGACGACTGGAAGTCTCTCAACGCGACAGCTCTGGTTTCGCTTTGCGGCGCAGTTAGGGTGGTCGGACCCGTTTGTGCGGCCCCGTTATTCATTGTTATGAACCGGAAAACCAAGGTGTCATCGTCCCTGGAATTTTTCTTCGACTGATGTTTGATCCTGAGTGTTTCATAGGTTATTCCTTACCGTCTGTACATTTGTAGCTTTTGTTTGCGGCAAATTTCTGTAGTGCTTGGTTTCCCAGGCCTTTACTCATAAATACAAAACGCTCTTCATTTGAATATTTGCAGGGTGCAAGTTGAGCTGCTGGATGATGAAATTTTTCTAGGTGTTTTGCACTTAAGTATTTGTAGGGTTTACATTCTCATATAATAAGTATTAGGCCTGGAAACTTGAGCTAGTGGGTGAAATCCTGGCAGGAACATAGATTTTAAACTGAGGATGAATTCTATCACAAGGATTTCTAGACTTCTTGATGAATAGATATGTGGAATTATAAAATTTTTTAATTAGATTTTTTCTCTAAGAAAATCCTGTTACAAAAGGTAATGAAGCCGTCTGCTGTAGTTTGAATGACCCCCCAAAACTCATATTGAAGCTTGATCCCCATTGTAACAGTGTTAAGAGGGTGGGAAATCCAACTGTGGTATTTGAAAGGCAGGGCCTTGGGGAGGTGATTGGATTGTTAGGCCTCTGCCCTCAGGAATGGATTCATCCATTCATGGATTAATGCGTTAACGGATAAATGGGTTATTATGGGAGTGGAACTGGTGGCTTTATAAGGAGAGCAAGTGAGCTCTTTTTACCAAGCTCAGCCCTTTTGCTATGTGACTCCCTGTACCCCATTAAGAAGGCCCTCACCAGATGCACCCCATAACCTTGGATTCTCAATCTCCAAAACTGTAAGAAATAAATTTCATTTCTTTATTTATAGATAATAAATTATCTAGTTTTAGGTATTTTGTTATAAGCAATAGGAAAAGGACTATTTTCTTGTACTACTAATATAAAGGGGGAAAAATAGGAATCTTATTGAAAGACAATGCTAATTTTAAGAAAAAATAGTAGTAATAGTTACACTATGCTAGGAGCTTTTTGTTATTTCATTTACTTTGGCAAGACTGGAAAAAAAGGGATGGTGCAAAAAATATTTCTGGAATACAATATTTGACCCGCTATGTGCAAGAGGGATAGTCTAAGATAGCTTCTTATTTTTGATCTGATATATTTCCAACTTTCACTTTTTTCTGTCTTTTTTAAGCTCTATAAAGCCTATCAATAAGCCAATCTTTTTACATAACTGTAGTTTAATGCCATTAGATTGTAGTAAATAAGTGTTTTTAAGTATTTGAAATTAGAGTTACAAAGATAATTCTTATGTTCCTGTATTGCTCTTAGAATTTTCAATGACCTTTCACTTACACAGTCTTATTTGCGGCTCATGCCAATCCTGAGTTAGGAATGCTAAGATATAAAATCTTTCCCCGTGACAGAAGAATTTCAAGTTATGTAAAGATCAGAATTTCCTTAAAACCTGAAACATTGCCAAAGTAGCCTTTGGTATAAATTGTAGTTTAGATTAAGATTAGAGCACTGTGAATTATAATGTATGACCTACAATGGACTCTTAAGAAAATGAAGTACATAAAATACTGAAAGGTTTTTGATGAGAAATGTGAAATGTAGTCATTTTTTAAAAGGAAAGGAATAAGTACGGCTCTATTTCTTTAGTGTAGTTTAAAACATTTAAAAAGTGTACATGTGATTGCAGGAGTTTTTTTTTTTTTTTTGGCAGCTGGCTGGTAGAGGGATCTGAACCCTTGACCTTGGTATTACTATATTGTGCTCTAACCAACTGAGCTAACTGGCCAGCACCAAAGAGATTTAGGAGAACAGGAGACCTGTCAGTGTCACACAGCTCACAGGTGGCAGAACTGGGATTTGAACTGAGATCTTCTGCTGCCCATTGTGTGCACTATGGCTTACACCACAGCTGCCTCCTGCAGGAGCATTTTGATAAGTAGAAAAGCTCCAGATAGTCTAAGATGAGTACAGTTGGTTTTAACTTCTATAAAAAGGGGCATGAATTATGTACAATATAGTACCTATATAAATGAGAAGTAGTGCTTAAGAAACAACACGTATATCAGAATAAATGTTGCTTTCAAATATTACCTTGGAAGGCTAAGTAGGGCAATATTTTGATTCTACGAGGGCAAGGCCCTTTGGAAGATAAAAAGAATGAAACGTGATTTCTGCCCTCAAACAACTTGTAGTCAATTAGGGTGATTTTTTTTTTTTTTTACACAACTACAATAAATGCCTTATGAGTATTATGTAATTTCTTTAGGAATACGAGGGCAAGGCCCTTTGGAAGATAAAAAGAATGAAACATGATTTCTGCCCTCAAACAACTTGTAGTCAATTAGGGTGATTTTTTTTTTTTTACACAACTACAATAAATGCCTTATGAGTATTATGTAATTTCTTTAGGAATTTAGGTGAGGGAGACATTAGTTGTGATTGGGGCTTGGTATTTGAGATGAATGAGCTTTGAAAGGTTTTCACCACACAAATATTGGAGGACATGTCGAGTACGAACAGAGTTCTTGGAAAGGTACAAGTTATATTTGAGAAAGGGTCAGTAGAACAATTTGGCTGATAATTCATAGTTCACATAAGTTAGTAATGGGAGGTGAAGAAGACAGCTTATGGAAAACTTCACTGAAGGTGTTTGATTAGAAGAGGTATGTAATCTACATGAATGCAGAATGAGCTGTAATTGGGAGATTGAGAATGGAAGACTATTTGGGTGGCTTTAGGTTAAGCTAGAACTTGACAGCATCATTTATGTGGCCCTTGTGTTTTCTCTGAAGCTCATCTTAAACTCAGACCTTGAGGTAAGTAGTGGGTTCAGGTGAGATGCCAGGAAGCAAAAGTGATGGAGCAAGTAGAATCAGAGAAGGGAAAAAAGCCAGTAATGGATGGGCAACTGTGAGCTTAACCCTGTGAAGATTTTTGTAAAACTGCCTCAGAAGTGTTCTACCAAGTGAAGGGGGCTGGTTTGCTTTTCTACCTACTCCCAGTCCTCGTTGATTGAGATTGCCCCTGAAATGCTGCCAGCACTTTCCAGTTGCCCTGGCTAGGCAAGCTCCTGAGGTACTGGAAAACTTAGTAGAGAAACAGAAGTGGTTGAGGTGGGAAGCTATCTGTGTGCCTAGAAACGGTTCGTACCAGCTACAAGTAAACATTGAGGTGAGCTGCAAGGATATGGAGCCAGGTATCAGCTGTGTCTATTAACAGCCATTCTCATTAAATAATACATATGTGAAGTAAGAGCCTCAATTTAGGTGGCAAGCTAGAAGAAACATGAATTGAAAAATGGTGGAAAAAGTAGAATTTGTTTGGTAACTGACAGAAAGTAAGGAGGGAATCTAAGATGGTACTGAGTTTTGAAAGATAACTCATGATAGAGAAGGGTTACAAAAGGTACTGACTTTCAAATTAGTTATTTAAAGGGAATAAAACAGTTGCAGGGTGTTGAGGAGAGTGGCAATAGAGTGTAGGTGATCATCATTGAAAAAGGAAAGTAATGGGCCGGCCCCATGGCTCACTCGGGAGAGTGCAGCACTGGTAGCGCCGAGGCCGCAGGTTTGGATCCTATATAGGGATGGCCGGTGAGCTCACTGGCTGAGCATGGTCTGGGTTACAAAAGAAAAAAAGGAAAGCAAGGTGGAGATTTGAACAGTGCTGCCACCCCCACTAACTTTTTTAGTGTCTGGCCCATACTTAATTGTAAGTCTTTGTTAAATTAGTCACTGTATACCCAGGGCTTAGCACTGTTCTGAAATACAGTAATGTAGTGAAAATGTGGGACTGAATGTTACATAAAATAATAAGACCAGATAAGACCAGTTCCTATAGTTTTTAACTGTTTATAAAATCCTGAAGGAAGAATTTCTAATATTTTTAGTGGAGTCTTTTTTTTTTTTTTTTTTTTTAGTAGAGGCATTATTTAGGTGAATAAATTTTAATTTGTTTCGTAATCACCAATATTATAGTCTGGTAAACAAATAAGAAAAGATTGACAATTTCTCTTAGACTGGTTCTTATTTGAAAATGGTGGTTGCATTTGTTTTTCCATGTTTCTACATGGCCTAAATATATATATATATATATATATATATATTTTTTTTTTTTTTTAATAAAGATTACCAGTAAGGGGATCTCAACCCTTGGCTTCGTGTTGTCAGCACCACACTCAACCAGTGAGCGAACCGGCCATCCCTATATAGGATCTGAACCCGTGGCCTTGGTGTTATCAGCACCACACTCTACCGAGTGAGCCACGGGCCGGCCCTCTACATAAATATTTTTAATGACTGTTCCTTAATGCCAGTGTACTGTTATTTAATTTACATTCCATCTTGCTCAGAAGTGAGTGAAACTTAGGGTGAAAATTTCCATCAGATTGTTTGAGCCTTTGTTAGAACTCTATCATATTCATTAATTCATTGATGTTTTCTCTTTCTTTTTTGTATTTGTAACAATTATTTCAACTAGATAAGACTAGAATTGACCATATTTTGTCATTCATTATTGGACCGTTTTTTTTCCTGTTGTAGAAATACCAATTAATATTT